GGTGTGATAAGTTCCGAGCCTTGTGCATTTGTGGGACCCGTCTCACGAGTGCACGGCGTCTGTCGTGTCTCGAAATTGGGTTTTGGGGCGTGACAGATAAAGTGGTATCAGAGCTTAGGTTTGATTAAGATTTTGTGATGTGAGAGCCTAGGTTTAAGTGAATACCTAGGATATGTTTTGAACTTGGCTAGTTAAGGGATTTAGAACCGTGGTGAGACGAGTGACGGGGTTATACAAGGGACGATCCTGATTTGTGTTACCTGAATTTTCTGATTCACTTTGATGTGATAGTGATTCAGTTAGTTCCTGTTATCTGTCGATAGTGAGAAGTTTTGAAATTAATCTTGCTCACTATGCTCTTATGACCTTGTTTGAAACTTGGTCCCTTGTGATAGTGTGCTTGGTTTTGGTTGTGGCCGGATGTATAAGGCCTTCCACATTAGGTTTGTTTGTTTGAGTATTCATCTGGGCATTCATACATGAATGCAAACATGGACATACATGAGCATATACATGGGCATTCATACATGCATGCATAAAGGCATTCATTCACACATGCATATGCATGCATTCATCCGTTCATGATTCTGTATATCCGAGTGATGTTTATCCGTCTCGGATAGGGTTCCATCTTTTAGTTGGACTCCTCATTGGATTCCTTGCCATGTTGTTGTGTTTGATGAGTGCTGGGTCTTGATTTAAGTCAAGGGCACCATATAATCACGTCGATAACTCTCGAGTTTAATTACTTGTGTTGAGGCGTGAAGTTATCTCCCGCCTCCCAAATGACCATTGGAGAGGGTGGAAAATGAGATTGTTGTTGGCTTGTTAGGGTAGTGATGAGTACCGAGTCCCGGTAAAGTGAATTTCACTATCGTACCTTCATAATTGTTAGCCGTGTATTGTGAGACTGATTTTCTTGTTCTTGTTGTGGTTTGATATTAGAGTGGCGCAGCGAAAGCGTAGTAGATCATGTTCCGATCATAGAAAGTTGGTGGGGCATTGTTTTGTCTTAGATTGTGTGAAGCCATTTACCAGTCTAGACAATCCTAGATCTGAGTTTTGGGGACAAAACTTCTTTTTAGGAGGGGTGGATGTAATATCCTAAAATTTTGGGATATTTTAGCATGAAATTGGGGACTTATTTGAGGAAAAATATTGTTTTGGGGCTTAATCGCAAAATTTTAAAAAGGTGAGGGGTTAAAAAGAAAGGAAAATAGGATAAGGATGAGTAGTCTTCCTTTTTCTTTTTATTCTTTCTTCTTTCCTTCCCCATCAGACCCGCGTGCCCTGCTCTTCCTCTCCCCCAACCCTCTACACCCGACGAACTCCCCAGCCACCGCCACCCATTTTCCGGCCGGAAATCCGGCAAAGCTTAGGGATTTCTCCCTATTTCCTTGTTTTAGAACACCTGTTGGACCCAGAAAATCCCGAAATCTGCTCTGGTCTTCTTCCCCTGTCCGTGAGCCGTTTCTGTTGGGTGCGATTCTTGGGCTTTTCTGGTAAGATCTAGCCATGAATCCCTCTCTTTCACCTTGATTTAGGTTGGGTTTAGTTTAATTGCTTTATTCCCTTCCAATTTCTGGTAGAGCCGTGAGTTTCCCCCTATACTGCTGCCGGTCTTCCCCCAACTGCAGCTCCGATTTTTGGCTGGATTTCCTGGTATGTTGACAGCCCTTTAAGTCTGAAATTACCCATTTAATTGTTGGGTTTTGTCCATTAGGTGCTGTCCTGTGCTTGCCCGAATTTTGCTAAAATGGGGGAGGAATTTTCGGTAGCATGTGG